GGGGGGAGCTTTTCCTTTGGAAACAGAAGAAAAGCTTCATTCAAAGGTCAAAGACCTCTCCACGTTACCCGTCTGCCTGGAAACTTAGGTCAGAAAGGCACAAACCTCAAGCAATATATCTGCACAAGGGAAGCTTCCCCTGCTGCCCCCAAGTACCTGACATCCACATTCCCACAAGGCATAAATTGCTCTGGACACAACCGTGTCACGCCTCGTTCTCAGGGAGCAGTTATGCAAACCAGCTCCTGGCTCCAGAGTACGTGCAGCTGGTGACGGGCACTGGCAGCACCAGGTCCTTACAGTTCAGTTTTCATTACTAATAATTGATGAAAGGAAAGTGTTCCTTGCGCATGTGGAAAACCCAGGTGTTGGTACAAGGTCAAACAGCTTTGTTGGTACTGTTGTTTTTCCCCCTTCCAGGTATTCATTGGGCAGCCTAACACCACATGGGACATAATTTATAAATAAAGGAACTTGGGCATTCTCCAAGATCTCAGTTAGTTCCCAAGTATTATCCCATAGTGACATCTCTGAAGCGCATGTCCCAGCATGTCCACAGAACTGATGGCAGAGCAGAAGTAGAGGCTGGCAGCCAGATTAACAGGAGACTGCACCCACGTATCAAATGTGGATCAAATGTGGATTAACTGTTCCAAACTAGTTTCACTAACTAGCAGCCTGCAAACTGGTGATTACTTCATTAAAAAGGTGCTAACGACCCTGCATCCAAAGCAAGTCTGTGCACAAGCTCTAGCATCTGTTGGCTGGACCAAAATAAGCCCCTGGATTCCCAATGTGTTTTGGCAATTGCTCTGTTCCCTGCCTGGGCAAAACCCAAGTTGACAGCCACAGAGCACTATACCTGAAAGGAGTTTTGGGACACTTACTTACAAACCAGCCCTTGGCCGGGCTTGTACTTGGTTAAACACCCAGTACTCACCAGGTCAATGAGGTCGCTGAGATTCTTCTCTATCTGCTGGGGAGGCAGCCGCCTCATCAAATCCAAGGCACAATCCAGCTGCTGGTCACTCTGCGGAGACAACAATGATGATCTGGTCACAACCCATACAGCAGAGCCCGACGCATTCACCACGCACAACAGAAAGGAGGAAAGGGAGGAGCTGCACCAGGACAGGGATCATTAACTCTCTGTAGGAGGACAGAGGTGGAACTTCCAACACTGTCCGTTACATTAATACTGAGGAATTTCTGTAATATTCGGCACCATTTAATAGCCATTGTACGAAACTTTCTGGAGCAGGGATTTGAGGGCACGGCTTATACTGGTAGCAGTTTAACCCCCTGATTCCAAGGGAATCTAGTCCTTAGCTCAAAAACCATTCCAATAAAACTCCCTGTCACATACAGCAAACAGGTTTCACTTACAACCCCCAAGTCAAGAGTGCAGCAGGAACACAGGTGATTCCTTTACAGGGTTTATAGGGACTCGTCTTCTCTGGATCACAGTGTAACAGTCACATGCCCTCACACGTCCACCCCTGCTCCGCTTCCCTCTCCAAGGGGGGCAGTCGAAAGCTTCACCCCCTGCCCCAAACCCAATTTTACCACTGCCTCATTCTGTATCAACCTACTAATTGTTCCATGCACTGTTTTTTTTCGCGCTATCTTAGCCACGATCTGCACGGAGGAACTGAAAGTTTCCCCTCCCGAAGCCCTTTTAGTACTTCCTTGTTTGCATCGTGCAGCTCTGAGACAATCAGCAGCCAAGATAAATTCTGTTTCAACACAGAGCTCCCCCCTCCTTCGGCTTTATCAACAATCAGATTGAAATGCACACACAATTTGATGTGTTATTTCCTTCTTCCTACAGGACACAAACTAAAACCTGTGAGGAATCAGGCCTTCAATTATCTGGAGAGACCACAGCAACACACTCCAACACGGCTTGTAGCAGCCGGTCCGATATCCACGTTTGACAAGAAAAAATAAGATTAAACTTAATTTCAGAGCACGAGAATGTGCAACAGCCATTCCCACAGACACCTGACCAGCTGCACAACGTTCCTGACTTACCCTTGAGCTCTGCTTCCTGCCCACAGATACAAACGGATCCTCTTGTGCAAACCCAAGGGTAGCCAGAACCGGCACAAGTCACTCGGACGAGCAGATCACGCCCGGCAGCAGCACTAGGGAGTTGGTTTTACTGATTCCTACCTTCCTCTTTCTTCTTTCACTATTTCTAACCACCCATATACAGTGTCCTTAGCTCGAATTGCTCTATAAGTTTTCATTTGGAGCAGTTCTGTGATCTAACTCTCAAATATAATAGCACATACACACACACCCCATGCCAAGAAGCAGCAGGAGGTCACCTCCTGCAATTCAGCTGTAGCAATGCAGAAGGGAAGGAGCTCGTTAGCACACAGCCATTAGCAAAGGCCCTACCTGCTCGCTTCCAACAAGTTAAGGAGACTGTTTATTGCTCAGCTACTTTATGCTGCAGGACATCGGTTCAAAAAGCCGCCAGAAGCGGAGAGGGCACCAGGAGCCTCCCCCAGCTGCAGCAAGGTGCCCATTGCCCCAGCTGGGAGCCAAGGGAGCTCTGCTCCCAGCACAGCACACGCAGCCCCGTGGGAGCCCCCAAACACCTGCCCAACACAGCAAGGAGGTGCCTGGCACCCAACACGGCAAGGAGGTGTCAGGCCACCCCACGCCTGCTGCCAGTCCTGCTCATCTGCCACAGTACCAAAAGGCAGAAGATTCCCTTTTCACTGATACAAAAAGGACAACGTGATGGCTAGCAGCCGTGCTGAAGGACTGAAGGATTTAATCTCTATGTAATAAAGGGTCCAGCAGGTTTCCAAGTTGCAGGATTCACAGCTCAGCTCCTGACACAAGAGGCTGTCGTGTTTGCTTTGAGGGATGTTAGATGGGCACAGGAATAACGCTGCTCTATTCACACGTCCTGCCACCGTGCCCACTCCGGACACGGCACAGGTCCCACAAGCTCTTCTCCTACAGCATCTTCCCCTTGACTATTAACCCTCTTCTGGCAGAGCCTATCAAGCCCCTTTGTAATACACCCTTAAGTCAGGGCCTCCTGACAGCAAGGTGCTCTACTGGGAAGAGCAAGAGCCACATGGGAATCCTGCAGTAACCCCCGCTCCTCCTGGATATTCCAGACTGGAGACATCTTCATCAGCCTGAAGAGTGAGATCACAGATTATTATAAAATATGATGCCGATGCAGACCAAGGTGTTGTTCTCTTTAACTACTTGTTTGTTTGGGGTTTTTTTTTTGTGGCTTGTATAAGACCCAGTGGCTTCGGAGAGCCACTGAGATATTTGTAACCACGTTTAGCAATGTGCAGTTCCACTCTCCAGTACGTTACTGCTATGGCAAAGAGCACCTAACACAGCCTGCCCAGAACACTCACTCTAACGTTTGCAAAGGAGGAGGATCAAATATTCACTTCAACAAGCACCGGGCAGCCGGGCACGAGCCAAAGCCGCCGTGCTGGCCCCCACAGCTCCTCTGCAACCCGTATTTATCTGTGCAGCAGCAGCGGAGCATGTCGCGCCACGGCCTACGCCTTCCCAGAGACACTCTCCAGTGGAGGGTATTTCCTCATTCTAACTCTGTTCCTCACCCTCAGTAACAATGTGGTTTGTGAGCTGAGGTCCCGGGGCAGTGCACACCCAGAAAGGCGCCGTCATGCGTGTCCAAACACCGGAGGTCTCCCCTAAACCCTGGGGGTTTCACCCGCTTTTGCTCTCCATGTGCCCACCTGCACCACAAGGGGCACTAAAGCCGTCTCTGGGACAGAGAGCAAATGAAGCAGCTCCTCTGGCACCTGCAGGCGATGCCACCAGGCACTCAGCACTACTTCAGGCTGGCAGAACAAGAGGTTCCTTTCAAAGGGACTAGAGCAGCCATGGTCATCCAGGAGCAACCAGCAAAGAGGACATGTCCACTCAGAACCAAGCAGCGCCTGCAAGCTTGAAACCAATCAGTGACTTACCAGACTCCCTCACTTCCCTACCTCCAGGCAGGAGCTTTCAAGCGTTCTTTGGATCACAGAACAGGCTCTGACTTCTCTTCCTCCTTCTTACCTCTAAACCAGGTAAGCATCGTGTGTCACTTGCCAGCTGTGGAATAACCACAAAAGCTAAAACCTTTGGTAGTCTGAAGCTATACATTTGACCAAAATTCATTATTTTGGCTTTATACACGAGAATCCAGCCTTCTCCTGAAGTATGTTCTGCAGGTAGTTTTCCACTAGATACATTTCAGCTCCTGTTAGCACATCCACAGAGCAGTGCAGCCGCAGCAGAGGAGGAGAAAAGACAACACGCTCTGGCATTTCCTTCTCACCAAGGGATTTCAAGAGGCCAGTACTCACATCCAACAGATAGAGACATCACCTTGGACAGCAGGGAGAGAGCCAAGACGATTGCGGTGCTGCCACCAGTGGGCTGGTATCAACCCTTTCTGGGAGGAAGGTCTTGACCTCCTGCCACCATCACTAATGGTTTCTGCACCAGCACTTGTCTTCTGGCTAACCGAAACAATGTTTTATTTATGAAACTTGTCACTGAACATGACAATATAATTTAGCAGCTTTCATCTGGTGCCAGGAGTTCCCGTAAAGCAGAAAGTTTGCAAAAAGCCTGTTTTCCAATAAATCAAGGCACCGAGTATATATGCAATCTATTAGGCTCACATAAAAGAGTAAAGGGGGCACAGCAGTGCAGCTGGGCAGAAAAGCTGCAGACTGCAATATGGTCCAACCAGTTTGCAATAAATGGGATTAAAGGCACTGAACTTGGTGGTGCAGAATGCCTGCTCGCAATAAATGTAGAGGAATTAATCACATTGCCATTCCTGTGCAAATTGCACACTCGATTTATGCTCTCCAGCTGAAGTTAACCCACGTTGTTTGCTGGGTATTTCTTGGACAGGAAATCTCAGTTATAAAGCAAAGTGAGGATACGGTTACAGCACAGCACCGAGATAAGACAATTAGCGTGGCTCCTGCAAGCACTTCACAAAGGAAGTTCACACGTCCGCGTGGCAGCTTCGCTGTCGGAACAGGCGCCGGCTGAGGCACGAGCACGGGTGCTGCCCTATGAGGGGCAGCAGGCAGAGGCTGCTTTCACCAACTGCAGCCACCCCAGGCCCTCGCTCACACCGAGGGCAGACCCAGGCCAGGCAGCCAGGGACACCTCTGCTGCTCAGACAGACAAGAGGAAAGCGTTTGCAGAGCCACCTTCCTGACGTTGCCAGCTGGCCCGACTGCTCACTGCCTCCCTCCAACCATTCTGCGCCCCTCTTGAAGCTGAAACTTGCTGACATACCCCAAATTCTTAGCTCTCCCCAATTCACTGATGCATTATTGTTGCTCCTTGAGTTATCTGCTACTTCCCACTAACCAGGGAAGGGCAATCTCTAAAACAAACGAGTGCAGCAGGTTGCTGCTCTGCGGTGCTGACTTCACCAGCACGTCTGGCCTTCACACAGGTGCTGCTATCGCTGGGGTTTCCCCAGGAGATTGGGTTTTACAGCAGGGCCATTAAGTTTTTACTAGAGTCTAACAGGTAACCGTAATCCCAACAGTGGAAAGCAGCATTTGAGCTCAGCTCTATAGGGCCATGTTGCTGCTACGTAGGAAAAAACAAAATCTCCAAGATACCCTGTAAATGCTTAGTAGCTTCAGATATGTGTGCATGTGATTTCAAAAAACTTCCAGTATTTTCAACTCTCAATCACTAAGAGCTACAAATACAACAGCTCTTGATTTTGCCGCTTGTCATCCTAAGCAGCTGTCACTGGCTTGCTTTTAAAACACTGGTTTTCAGACGCTGCTTTACTCTCTCTACGGCTTATTCCATGTTTGGAACAACTTGGCCACGAGCGTATCAGAAGACAATTGCCTCGTTCAAATAACGAGACTACACGTGCGATCTGCAGGAAGAGCCTAGAAGCATCTTCATTTAAAAGGGACTCTTGAACTCAGCAAATCCCCTCACAGAATCCCCTCCCAGCACCCAGATTCGGGTGCTTCTTCC